AAACGAGCCAGCGGTCAAACAGAGTCAGGGGGACAGAGAGCCCTCACGAGCGCATTGCCTATACCAGCGCAATATATTTATGCCTTGCTATGCAGCTCGTCTTAACAGTTCAGCGATACATATGTTGGAACCAAGATCTACATGCAGTATCAGGAGAGCGCTGAAAAAAAACGTTTGGCATTTGCGGTAGGACGTATCTGTGAATCTATGTATTATATGCATGCTTGCTAGGCCATAATAAAAATTATTGTTTGTTTGCCATTCACCCGACTGAGCCCGCCAAAGAGGGGGCCGACTCAACATTTTTAGCCTCATCTACGTAGCAGAATGCAGCTTGTAGTAATCGCGTGATGATCGTCGTCCGTCGCGGTCCGTCCGTGGGCGAGCGTCCGGTCCGTCCGTCAAACAGTTCGGGCACAAATCTTAAAGAGCGCTCGGACTGACGGGTCACTATCCATCGGGGTGTGGGGGGTAATCCGGAAAACGAGTTGGATGTCGAAGCTGGGTGGGTCAAAAGGTCAAAGTCAAGCCAGGTGTAAAATACAGGTGGAACATTGCACTCCTTGTAACTTTAAGGTATAGGGAGGAAATGCAGATTGCGGCACAAATCTAAACGGCTCGACCTAGCTCGGGTGATACGTTGGTGTTGGTATGCATCATGTAGGAAAACCATCACTTGCCGAAATTGCTGGGAGCCACAGGTTCACAAGGTCAATCGGGCACAGGGCGAGATTTTAACATTTTCTGAGGACAATGTCTGACGGAGCATTGCAGAAACCTTTTTGGTTTCAGCGTAGGGCTAGCGTGATTTTGTCACTGGCATTATTGAAAGGAACATGAAATCACTTTCTGTCTGACATGCGAAGAGTACAGTTGTCAGATAACCTTTGAACCCTCAGGCGAGGAGGGTTTAAACATGGATTTTTGACTGTCTGTCTAAAAGGACATTTGACTGCCGGTGAGTTTGCTAGTAGAAGGAATCGTGACTTACATGCCTGGGTGGTATGAGCTACTAATGCTCACAGATGAAATTTCAAAAGCTAAATCTTGTTAAGAAGGTTTATGCTCCTTAAATCGTAAATTCGTATAGGCATCTGTGTGCTGTCAGTATGTTACATGTTACCGTATGCCACTGATGGTACTGCCAGTGCATGTTCTTGGGTTGGTAAGCTGTACTGTGTATTTTGCCTGGTTAAGTGTTACAGGGTCGGAGCTCTCTATTGCAGCCTGTAGGCTTGCTAGGTAATATGGATGAGGACTTACCTTACTTCTTCTTGCAAAATAGTTGTGCTACTTGAACGATGGGACGCTTCATCTTTAATCGACAGACACTTAAAACGTAACACCCATCTCGTCCAGGCAACTTTCATAACGATGCCCATACGAACTTCCTTTGGAGAAGGTTCCTGTACCATCCCTACTGATTCCACTGTTTCTCGCGTGTATGTGAACACTATTGGGGACTAACAGGGCTTTACAGCAATCCCACCACTCTACCAGCAGAGTCACCGCAGTAGACGTTAGATGAGCGGCTGTCGCTCTGCGGGGCACTTGTTTATTGATCTTTTCCATTTTTTTTTTTTCAACAAATTGTATGCACTGTACATGTATATAAAATCTGTCAGCAATACATTATATTACAAGCAAAACAACATTCAACATAAAAGGTATCTCACACCAAGCACACCGCCGGGAGCATGTAGACACCATGCTGACATGGTAAAAAGACCCCTCTCCAAAAAATTAAGGCGGCCCTACCTACCTACCCAAACTTTTCAGCCTGGGTGGTCGGATGTGAGGGCAAACAAATATTTTTTTAATTGTGGCCTTATGTGCACGAATTCACTATTGGTTTGATGCGCAAATGACAAATCTAAGGTTAGGGTTACATATCTATTACATGGTTTTCCTTCCAGATTCTTAACAATCCGCCCATTCTATTTTGTGATGAGCCTACATCGGGCCTGGACTCTTACATGGCAGAAAACATAGTCAGTGTGTTGGGGAGACTAGCAGCAACAAACAGAACAATCATGTGCACAATTCACCAACCTTCATCTCAAGTCTTTCAGATGTTTGATAGGTATTGGTACAAAAAACTTGTCATTATATTAGATACATTGTAAGAGTTTGAAGAAGTTTACTGGGTGGGGGTCGGTAGAGAGATCGAGCTTGTTGGATTGGCCAACTTTGCCGTAGGCCGAGAAGAGGGAACTGGTGCAATGCTGCTGCTGGTTACTGCTGACTGTTTAAGGTTTGCAAATTTTTTAAATATATAAATTAAGAAAACGTGCATATAACACTTATATATATTATCAGGAGTAGATAATAGGGGAGAGGAGTGTGACATCAATAAACAAGGGAATTCGTCGGATTTACGTAGCTTAATCATACCTACGATTTACTACGGTAAGCCAACCAATTGAGCTCAAATCGTACACAGCAGTACATATCGGCCTGAGCTCGAGTGCGAAATGCGTTTCCTCGTATACACTGCAATCCGGGAGATATAGACTAAAACGTACGACACGATTTTCCCATTCTGTAGCCAGCAAAAATCTTTGTCGTTCAGAGACGAATTTGAAACAGAAGGCAAGCTTACGTAACGCTGGCTATCGCTAACCTGCGGCGCGCAATGCTGGCTAGCGCCGCTGGGAGATGACGGCCGACGCTGCTCGATACGGATTTAGCGTGCTTGTGCGTGTATGCGGCATGTCAGCTGTATGCCGGCATGCCGGTAGTGTTAGCGTGTACCGGGCGCAAAGGTTATCTCGGCCGAGTGTTGCGGTTGTGAGTGGTGAGGTGAGTCGTGCCCAGGTGAGCCACATTGCCCCGCCGAGTTAAGCAATATAGTGCGTTAGGTAGCTGCCTTTTGCTTTCAAAATGTTCTGCTGAACGCATAGCATTTGCTGGGCGACAGAATGGAAAATTGTGTCGTACGTTTTAGGTCTATATCTCGGATTGGCAGGTGTATACGAGGAACCATTTCGCCACCGAGTGCTAGGCGAATATACTGTGTACGATTGGTGTAGCTCAAGTCGGTTGCGTTACGCGAGGCGCGGATTTAGATGGAGCGGCACATCCGGCCCTGTTGCCCCCTTTTTAAACAAAACGAATAAAAAACTAATACATTATTAAAAAAATTAAAAAATTAAAAAATTAAAAAATTTTAAAAATTTTTTATTCTCACATTTCAATGTTCGCTAAATTAACGGTTACAAGATGGAGTTCCAGTCGAGAAGGAACTGGAGCAGGTCGAGTGACCCATTTTCGATGTTTAACATAACAATTCAAATTTTGTCAGGCTTCTTCTGAATTTCCTGCCAAAGAAAAACATTCTCAGAGTCATTATAAGAACTTTGATTGTCTTACATTGTTAGAGATATATTTCTCTGGCCTGCAACTGTTATATGTCATATGTATGTAAACCGGCAGTTCATCATTAGGAAGAAAGTTGACTAATTTTATTTTGCTTCTGTAATGAAAACATACTCATACTGTAATACAAACATTCTATTCAAGTTGAAATATATTCGAAGTTATTACAAATTTGTATTTTTGTGTTGGAAATGCCCATATTTTCTCCTAGCCTAGCTCCAATAGTTATTTGATATGTGAATGTGCTTCATGTAATACCACCATGATCATTGTCATTAACATATAATAAGGTTTAAAAAAATTTCCAGTGTAATATAATTTCTAGTACATTTGACGGTCTTGCCTCCCCCCCCCCCCGCCCCATGGACGAAAGGTCTGCCGTCACGCCCACTATCAAATTTAACACATAAATGCTTGCTGCAGATATGCAGTTACAAATACCCTCACAGTAGTGCACCAGATTGCCCACGCAGAGCAGAGTAACCCCCTCCCATCTACCCTCCCCCAGGGCGTGCTACAGGGGGGGCGGGGTCCAGGAAGTTCCGGACTCTCCTGCTCGCACAGAAAAGCGCTTCTGAGGGCGTTTGTGTGTGTATTTGGCGAGAGAAGATGGATGCTGTGTTGGTGTCTCTGCCTCGGGACCTCTCCTTCGCGTGCCTCGCCAAGTACTGGGTTACCGCTAGACCCCCCCCCCCCTGCCGCTCCCAATCCTGTACTTCGCCCCTGCCCCCCCTCACTTCGCTCTTCGGCTCAGGCTTTGGTCGCTCCGATGATCTCGCCGTCTATCATCCCCCACATTTCCACTGACATAAATTGCTCATTTGGTGCCCCTCTTTTTGAAAATTCTTGGATCCGGCGCCCTGGCGTTACGCTAGTACACCTAGGTATTTTAAGGCTAGAAAGTGACCGAATTTCCCTTGGTTATTATGTCACACTCCTTCCCTATTATCTACTCCTGAGATTAAATTATTATATTATTATTATTTTATATTAAATTATAAGAATAAACCAAATATTAAAGCATATTTTATTTATTCAAAAACTATAGCGTGTGTACAAATGAATCTAATACTTGATCTGTTTTCACTCCAGTGTTCTCTTCATAACAGAAGGTAGGACAGCATTTCTTGGTTCAAGGAAGGAGGCATTGTCATTTTTCCATAGGTAAGTAGTTGAGTGAACCATGGAACCAATGTCTTGCTCGTTTGCCAATAAATACTCTTCTAGGGACTAAATACCATATTGCAATTAAAAAACATGGTCTTGCATAATTACCAAGAGAGTTGCATTAAAAGTTAAGTAAGTATTGAATTGAAATACTTGCATGTTAATGTCTAAATCGTAATCTATATGCTTTCAGCCAAGGTTACCCATGTCCGTCAGATTATAATCCAGCCGATTTCTTCATTCATAACCTGTCAATTCGTCCAGGCAAAGAGGATGGCTGCAAAGAAAGCACCAGAGTCAGTTTTACACTACTGTATTCACAGAAATAAAAGCATTACATACTAGCTGGATATATGTAGATGTATATATATTGCCTTTAATAATGCATTCTCAAGCAATGCATGCAAACCATATCAGCATAATAGTTATATTGGTTTCAGTTTTGCAGCTAGAATGCTTTGGCTTGAAATAAAAATACCAATAATTGGTAATAAATTGAAGCACCCTGTATCAGCCACTTGGTAATGTGCTGTGTGTTTATCCAGCCACCGAGCGGTTATTAATTATCATTGGTTCCTAATTACAGTATATCTGCAATGCATTCGAGGCAAGTGAACTCAACGAGAGGATTATGAATCAGATTTCCAATGCAGAGTTCCGAGGAGATAACTATTCTATGGCAGAGGTAAGTAGAGCCATTAACAGTTGGCAGCTTGCAGGCAATGTTACAGTTCAGTACATAAAGCAGGTAGCTGCTACTTCGCGTGGGCCCTTCCCATCACAGCCGAGTGATGAGAGGTTAGTATAACTGCATAATATTAGTTTGGCGCTAGATATGTGGGTGTTCAGGAATCTGTATTAATTTGCATGTCTACATAGATATATATTATAATGTATATCTCCCATACCACTGCCATTTTTTGCACTTCTCAATGTCTTGGGAATGCAAATGTTGCCAGAATATTGATAATTTGGTGCCCACACACTGGCCATGGTAGCCATGCACCAACACCCATGCAATGACTGCATGTGGTAGTTAATCTGCATGCTCTCATATCACAGTGCTTTGGCTCATCTGGTGTTAATGCATTGCCTCACATTATCATATCTCATAATTCAGGTACAAGATGAATTCCTGGCCAAGAGCCGAAGGTAACCATGTTAGAATTAATACAGAAGTGGATTTAATAGTAATTGCACATATTACAAAAACTTAATTAGGGCAGCTGTAACTGTATTTATAACATAATCATTCTATTTTTAATTGATGTTTTTCATTTTATAACTTGGAAATATTTCGATGTTTTAGTTGGGTCAGTGTGAAATTCTAGCATGCCACTAATATGAAATACCTCTCTGCAATGATAATTACATAGTCAAAATGGTATTAATTATATTGTACTCACTATGTGAACTATGATATATGTTGAATTTATTCACTTACATAAAAATGTTGTTTGTGCAGGTATAAGGCAGGGTGGTGTAGACAACTCTCATTGCTACTGTGGAGGTCTTGCAGCACACATTTACGGAACAAATACCGCTGGATAATCAACATATGCCAAAGAATAGTAAGCATGCATCAAATTTCTCGCCAGTTCTTGCAGCAAAATTCATAGATATACCTACTCAGTACTGTGAGCTTGTCTATGTTGTAAAAATTCGCTACAACTTATTTGTATTGCTAATTTCATTATATTTCTTTGGCAAATCTAAACTAATGTACTCGATCCTCTCATGAAAGTAGCACCACAGGATGTTTACACATCCGGGACACAGCCGAGCAAACGCTGTTGTAATTTATTTTCGATGTTTTTTTCGTACAAAATTGTGAAATTTCTTATAATGTTATCTACATTACTTATGCAATCAGCAAACAAATATAGTGTTTTCTTTCCATGAACTATTTGCGCTAGCGTAGGCCTACTGTTAGCGTTCTCGCGGTCGCTTCACTTAACAACAATTTATGTGTATCTATCTATATATGCCAAAACTTTCTCCGAGAAAGTTTTCACAATGCACATTTCGGAGCACATTTCTGGCTCAATGAGAATATTTCGTGATGTTTTCATACTGCAAGTATGCTCACAGTAGGTGTATTTAGGCATTTTGTTGCGAGGATTATCCACATTAATTATCGATTTTGCATTTCCATTATTCTCGGAAAAATAATAAATATGTGAGTGGTAGTGAAGCTCATAGGGTCTATGTCCCCCAGGGTACTGCCGGAACGTACCCTGGTAACTATTTGATATAGTTAGGGTTAGGGAGTAGGCGTAGGCGACTCCTTAGACTCGTTAGTGGAGTAGGCGAGATACGGTCCGGCATATTAGATAGTACCGTACCCAGGGTACGTTCTGACAGTACCCTGGGGGACATAGATCCTCTCAGCGGTAGTGAAGCCACTTCTAGAAGCTAGCTGAACATATTACCAAAGTAATTAACAGACCGATTCAAAATCTTTTTCTTATGAATCCTGTCATTTTACATTCATATCAGATCGTAGTAAATGGTTTCACGTTAGGGTTAACGTTAAGTAATACAGCGTACATCTTTGACGTGATTGATGTATAGTGAAATTCTGAAAGTCATGACAGCAGTGCCAGGCACCGTCCATTCAAAAAGCATATACACTGATAATCCGGTGTAACACAGGCAGTTGGGTCCAAAATTTTGGTACTTATTATATTAAATTTATATATTTTGATGTAGTAGACAGGGTACTAAGTAGCCACATGGAAATATCTTGGAATTTTAAATATGTGCTTAAAATTCTGTTGAATTTTAAAATGTGTAGATTTTCTTCTAAGACGAAAAAAGGGGTGTCAACATTTTCATAGTTGATTGGGGGTAAACCCATTAACTGAGTTACATGCGATTCTGCAGATGTGTTTTATCTGGTAGATAGTATATAACTACAAATACATTGATTTCACAGATGGTGGCTATTGTACTTGGCTTGCTGTATCTACAAATAGCAAGCACTATCAACCAGACATCTCTGAGTGGAATCACTGGCTTACTATTCTTGATCGTTGTAGAGACTTGTTTCTCGAGCATGTGGGGTTTAATGCTGGTAAGTTGATTGCATTGACAGTTAAACCAGGAAATATCTTCCTGAAATCTTGATTAGATATAAAGGTTATCTCTAAAGGATTATTACAAAAAAATTGCGCATATTATATGATGAGTATCCTAATTTTACAAAGTAGGAGCAATTATAATTTGTCCTATATTTGTATGTATGTGTGCGTGCGTGCTTATCTCTCTCTCTCTCTCTCTCTCTCTCTCTCTCTCTCTCTTCGTGCATCTCATCTTCTCTCTCTCCCGTCATTTTTATAGTTGTATTTCCTGATTTGGCAGCATATTGTTATTGTTTTAAAGTCATGCAGTAACATACAGAAGATGACACGATAAATTATGTATGCTAGTGTTTACAAATACCTAATGAATATTTTCTGTATTTAAGTCTATTCCAGTGGAGACACCTATATTCTTCCGAGAATACAAAAACGGCATGTATGGTGCTGCCCCATACTTCATCTCCAAGGTTGCATCTAATGTGAGTCGCTATGTTGCTTTACTAACCATGCTCTGCATGTAATTTTTCTTACATACATAAGACATGTTCAATTCCTAAATGACCATTGATTTCTTCTTTGTGTTAGTCTTCAGATAATGCCAACATAACTATATTTACAAGTAATGATCTTATTTTTGTAAATAGTATATAATAGCGATCAAAAACTATAATTAAAAAGATACTCCCAAAATCTCCATAGGCAATCACACTCATAGTAGAACCACTTACCTTTGTGAGTATCCTGTACTGGATGTCTGGACTGTATGCTTCCTGGGATGCCTACTTTACAGCCCTGGGTGTCTGCGTCCTCGCATCATTTGTCTCGGGCATGTTTGGTAAGCATATAAGTGATAGACCATGAATATAGGATTGCCGAACAATAATAATATTAATAATAATAGTAAGAATAATTTCATTTTTTATTTATTTATATACATATTGCACACATGCACTCCCATACACACATGCAAAAATCCAGTATATGTATGTTCATCATAAGGGATAATCACAGGTAAAGGCATTACAATTTAACACTAAAAATGTGGGACAAATAAAACAGGTTAAATCTGAGGGGATTTTCTGTTGTTACCATCATTGATCTGTTTGAAATTTATTGCTTGCATTTTTAGCTCATCTGACATAGTCAGATGCAGCTTGTAGAATCGCATGAGCATGCGTCCGTGCGTCCGTCCGGCCGTCCGGTCCGTCACACAGTTGTTGGCACAAATCTTAAACCCGCTTGAGGGCCTGATGTACGGTCACGATGGATTCGGGACGTCTGCGGAGCGGGGATCGTCAAAACGAGTTGGGATGTCGATAGCTGGCGGGTCAAAGGGCAAGTCAAGAGGTGTAAAAAGAAGGGGCGAACATTCCCTCCTTAACTTAAGGTATACGCGGGAGAACATGAGAATTGCGGCCACAATTTGCTAAACGGCTCGACCGGGTAGGTCGTCGATAGTCGGCTGTATAGCATCCATGTAGAGGAAAAAGCCATCACTGTGCCGAGGCACAATGGATGGGTCTTAGGCGAGGAGTTTCAGAAGGTCAATGGGGGCACAGGGGAGATTGTAGACATTTTTTTAGGACAACTGGCTGACGGCAGCGATTGAAAACTTTTTTTGTGTTCGAAGCGGTGACTTAGGATTGTCTTATGGCTTTAGTTGAGAAGGACATGAATGTACTTTTTGCTGCAATGCGAGAGTCAAAGTGTCGGATAACCTGTTTGACCCTCAGAGGAGCGGGTTAAACGATAGGAATTTGTTAGCTGTTAGCAAAGAATTTTACTGCGCGGTTTTGCTAGTAGAAATCGTATACATGCCGGAGGCTATGACGGGCTATATGCTCACAGTGACATTTTTCAAGCTAAATTTTGGTTGAAGAAGGCTTTAGGCTCTTTAAAAAATTTTGTCGCTATAATTTTCGTATTGGCATTCTGTACTGTTCAGGTGTGTTATGTAACGTATGCCAGACTTGCCAGTGGCCACTGGCCGGGATGTGGTGGTGGGGATCAGTACTGTGTAGTTGGGGCCTGGTTAATTAGGTTACGAGTGTGGCAGCTCTCGTATTTCAGCCTGTAGGCGGGTTGCGTAGGTAAATGATGAGTGGCTTCCCGTATTCTGTCTTTGAAATAGTTGTTGCCTACTACGTATGATGGGGGAGCTTCCTGCTTTCTCTTAAGACACTTAAACGTACGCCGCCATCTCGTGGACCAAGACTTTTACATACAGGATCCGCAACAGAACATTCCCATTGAGAATGGCATCCTGATACCATCCCTGTGCCCTATTCCGACCTTGTTTCGAGCGCGTAGGTGAACACATTTGGGACACAAGGGTTTACTAGGAATCCCACCACTTCACCACAGAGTCACCGCAGTAGACATTAGATGAGCGCTGTCGCTGCGCGGCACTTGTTGAGTAGAACCGATTTCTTTTGAAAGATATCCCTGGTGGTGTGGTGCCTGCTGGCACCGACCTTTCTAATGGCTGATTTACTACCCCGTCAAAAATAAGGATTATGTGTTGTATGCTTATATTAACATATTTAAACATTGTTCTGCATGAAATGAATACGTTCTATGTAAACAAAATCACACATTTTCTGCTACTACAGACAAAATTGTGTTAAAAAGCGATTTGTTGTTAAATTGGAATTTTACGCATTTACTCATTCATTATGTACAGCAATGAAAGAAATAATAGACTATTGACATGCCAGACAGGGTGTTTTGAATATCTATGTGTGTGCTTGTAGGTGTGTGCGTGCGTGCATGTGTGCGGGCGTTCATGCGGGCGTGCGTGCGTGCACGCATGTGTTCGGGTGTGCGAGCGTATGTGTCTCTGTGTTTTGTTATCATTGCAATTATTCGGTTGCTGTATTTCTTTTTATAATTTCTAGGTTTCCTGTTTTCTGCAATATCATCAAATATAACGGCTTTGACAACAATGATGGGCCTTGTAAACGTCACCCTGCTTTTGTTCTCTGGACTTTTCGTGCAGATGACGTAAGTTCATTAGTTGATTCCAAGTTCGTTTATAGATTCCTGTAGATTATCAGTTTATCAAGTATAGACATATAAAACAATGGAATCTAACAAATAACAGAATATAAAGTTTATAATAGTATTTAGAAAAATTATTATTATAAAATTTCCATGCTGTTATCTCTGCTTGCTCAATTAATCTAAATTTTCACGTAAGCACATTCCTACGAATACATACTCGTGTAGACAAGTACGTAAACGGACTCTAAGAGGTACACTGTTTACTTGCAGAACATTTCCAAAAGCTGTGAGCTGGGTGCAAGAGGTTTCTTGGTTTCGTTTGGCTAGTGAAGCTCTCCTTATAAACCAGTGGACCCGAATCGACTACATTGGTGCATTTTAAGATAGCACATATTGAGTAAAACCTTACGTATAGGTTTTGAGTTTCAGTTATTTGTTCTCTATACGATCACTTAACGATCGGCAGACATGTACAGTCAAACATGTTAGCGATCGACCCTTCTATGAAATGGACACCTGTCTATGAAGGGCACTTTTGGGGTTTTCCTTGAGGGACTATTATGTACAGAATAAATTATATATTTTAAAGGGAGTGAATGTTTAATTGCATAATTCAGAATAGAGTGAATATTTCATAGTTCACGTTTCAGAGTTATTTTACCTCTTTATCTCTGTTTTTGGTTCTGACTGATAGATTTTGTTGAAACCTCTTTTTTTCTTTATATAGAATGTGAATACGAGTCTCTACCATGTAAGCAAAACGGTTTGGATGTCCTCGAGCAATACAGCTTCAAGCCGGTAAGAATAATGGTAGGATTTAGTACTAGCTCTCTAAAGAACTACAGACAGGCTTTCTCTAGATTTTAATTATGGGGCCCACCATGATTATAGATTTGGCTCCTGTCGTATTGGGTGACAGTTGTCTAACTTCGTACTAGATTCATATTGTCTATTTTTGAGCTCACTGGACATCGTTACAGTAATGATGCTATTGCTCAATATTGCGGTCGTCTTCCGTTTGTCGACGTATCCGTACTGATGCCCGAGTCAGACATCGTTGGCTACATGCGTCAAAGCGCAGATTATAAGTCGGAACGTTTGACCAATGTTTGAAAGTTGGGCGTTTAGGGTTGTACTGCTATTGTCTGCATAGGTTGAACGACTATTTTGGAGCACGCCAGTCGACGTACTTTCGGCCCGGCAATTTATTTGGGCAAAAATTGGAATGGCATTTCAGTTCAGGGTTCGAACGGATTTGTATTTTTGGACATGTGAATGATAAGGGCTAAGGGTTTTGATGTATAAAAAAAAAGGATTATGCAATTAGTTTTTCAGTAGGATTTTGCATTAAGTAGTATGGCTATTATATTGAGCACAACGGAGTCTGGTGAGGGGTGCAGCTGTGGTGCATGTTTAGATATTTCGGGTGACAGAATAGTTCTTTGGAATGAAAATTGGTGGATTTGCTCTGCCCTGCGGATGTAAAACGTCTATATTAGAGGTAATGTTTGAACAAAAGGCATGGGCGGAAGCGGCATAAGGGTATGGTTATTTCAAGAACGCGCAAGGCTAGAGAAACATCAAAGCGGCATAGTGCGCAATGTACTGGTCACAAATGTGTGGATTATTTTGGTTTGATAAAATTAGTGTATTGCGATATACAGATAGGGGCAACCATGTGCTAACCGCTAGAAACTCATACGGAGTAAACGAGTTTCCATGAACAATTAACCTTTGAGAGAAGGAAGTTGTGTGTTAGATAGGGGCGAGGGGCAATGGACATTGTCACGGTGGTTATAGAGTACGGTGGAGGTAGCCGTATACTGCTGCAGATTACACGTGGTGACGCATGGGACGCTCCGCTTTTAGGGCAGGCCTAAATCTGAATATTATGAAAACTATACAATTGGCGGAATATTTAGGTGTCGCCGATCATGCCACATCTCAGATTGTGTCCATTACAGTTTGATTTCAGCAATGAAGCAAAGATGTATGTTATCAGAGAGAGTATTAAGTGGGAGTTTCGCCGAGTAGGATATGATTAAGTTTCTATAAGGTGGTACGGTTGTTACGTCGGGATGGTTTGTTCAATTAAATGAATGTTTGTCGGAATCTGCGAAATTTTGGTAGGTTTTTGGTTGAGTACGTTACGAGTGGATCAGTTGCACGTTTCATGTGTTTTATGTTGGTTCTGTTGGTCTGCTTGGGTACGTTAGATTGTGCATAGATTGCCCTTTATTTTTCATGTCAGCATGGTCCTTGTATGTTTATTAATTACTAATGTTAGCTGATAACTAACAGTGACTTGACGATTACTAATTATTCTTTCTCGCTTAGTTGGCGTATTAGCTCTGCTGTCTGTAGGATATGGGGTTTCTCTGAGCGTGGGACGGAGAGATGGGATGTCGGGATGGTAGAGCGGTCGGCCGCTGTAAATGCAAACTCTTGATACTTTCATTCTCGTTTGCTGACTGGGTAGCGGGGGTGTGATGGTCGTATTATGCTAGTACATATTTGGCAAGAGCGCCCTAGTTTAATCACTTGCCTACTGAGTACATTAGAGATCAGAATGGGTGCTCAGTTGTATTTCATGTGGGCATATCCGATACTATCTAGACATGATGTGGTGTGTTAAAATCTGTGTTTCTTACTGGCGATGTTCCTTCTTGTCATTCAGGCTAGTCGCGCATGTTGATAATAATATATTGAGGTATGTTAATACGGCATTGACCGCAGTTTTGGGCGTTGTTTACGTTATGTATGACTAACTGATGTTGCTTGGGGCAACACAACAGAGTGAGTGTGTACAAGCACTTCATATTGGGTCGAAAACCTCATTGTGAATTATGGCCTCTGGTACTAACATGATGTCACTATGATAGGTGACCAAGACGGGCTGCTGAAGTGAGCGATACAGGGTGTGTGCGTGGGTGTGCATTCGTCGTCCTGAGAATATGTCTTATAGTTTCTGATATGATCTAAAATAAATAACGAGGGATCCGTCGCAAACGGTAGTTTCTTTATATTATAGTGTTGTTATATGCTTACAAGAGTAGATATAGAGACTTATTAGTGTTACTTTGATAGTGCAAGCAGAAAGTATTCTATTTTTTTGCCAAACTTATCAATCAATCAGTATTTAAGTAAAGCGGTATCGTTACTTTACTCTAGGTATCTAGGGTGACAGTGGGCCTAGGATTTTCAGTTAATTTAGGTTAATACCTGCGTATAAGTTAAACAAGCTGGTGCGAGGATTGTCATTTCACCATTATAGACATTGACTGCGTTGGTGCAAACCACTTTTTCAGCTAAGGCTCGCTACGTAGAGAGCCGAATGAATATGTTCGGTTGAAAATTTAGTTAATATATTGCATTTGGGGATTCCGGGCCGCGCCGGGCCTCTTGATTCACATCGCATAATAAATTCCGGATCAAATGTTATCATTGGGAGCGCGCGTTTCTAAAGTGTGTCGTGAGGACAAGCTGGTCGAAGGTGGTTGTAATAGAGATAGTATTATACCCTATTAATTAGGTATTTGTAACAATATGTGTATGGTTTAGATGACTTGGTATATTATCAGGTAACGTGTAACGAGTTCGTTGCTGTGATTATCTAAAATCTATATCGTAGGATATGACGATTATTTTATTCCCTTTTAAATGTCTGCCCATGTCTCGCCGTTTCTCCTCCGGTGGCAATCAATGACGATTTATAGTTGAGGGTTTTATACTGCAATGGTCCGTTAAGCCTATCTTTTATGATTTGGGGGGGTTTCGTTTTTCAATGTTGGGATTTGCTAGACAGGGGGTGCTGTCACAGGATTTGGCTTGTTATCCAGGGCGGGGGGGTGGTGTATAACCGTAATCCGAAAGTTTCGAGGATGCGAGAGGGGGGGTGTGGGGGTGGGAGCCCGCCGCCTCAGCGTGACGCATTTTTAATGTGTCGCCCCTCCATAGATAGGAGGTTGCTTTATATTTATGACTCTTGACTTGTTGACCTGAGCTGCAGCGAACACGGGGGGTCGGACTGACTGGAACGGCCATGGTACACGCACCGGTGTTCGGGAGCGGCGAAGATGTGTGATATCGTTCAGAAACAATGAAATATAGAGCCGTTGGCCAAGTGTAATGTAATGCAAGACAGATAAGCATTTAGTTTGGCATTTTGTATTGGCTGAGAGTCATGGGAAGGTTGCACAAAACACCACCGCCGGCACACACACACACGGCGCAAACCACCACACACGCAACGCACGGCACACACACATACAACAGCCACGAAAACAAACACGGGGGTGTAGATGTAGTTACCATGGTTAAGAGGGTATCGTGGAAGCCCGGTTAGAGTGGTTATGTTTGTGGAGAGTAGCGGATACACGAAAAGATGTAGGAAGAGAATTCTGGTTGTTGATGGGCTCTGCCTCGGCACTGAAACCAAGTGAGACTATATTATAGTTATAGTGATTATAGGTTTAGAGAGTGGTTAGTCTGACCCTCTTCCGTGTTGTTGTGTCACTTGTTATTATCCTCCTCGTCAACGATGAGTCGACTTGATTGTACGATTGTATTACATTAAAAATATGCGGCTTATAATGCGATTCGAACGGCGTGGAGAATTCGGATCTTTGCATGTTTTTGCAAAAAACGATGCGATATTGGTGGATGTATATTGATACCACTGGAAAGGATGGCAGGCTCAGGAATAGGGGGGGCAACTTGCTCGAATCTGGAAGCATGAGTTTGGCGGCAGGGTTTCGTATGCTGATAGAACATTTTCCGAATCTCTCACTTCGTCGTAGTACTGTTGGAGACAAGAAATTTTTTTAAGGGCGATATCTGCTGCGTTGTTAATGTGCTTATGAATATAATGTTGGTGAGTAGAACTGTTATTGTTAGAGGCTATTATAGTATATATGTATGCATGTGATAATATTAATGATGTTAAGTTAGTGGTTTTACACGAGGGTGCAGTACCAGCAGTATGGGCAATGATAATTGTTCTACGGTGGGGATAATCTTATTAGCACTCGATATAAACGATTACCATGATACACTCTCTCTCTCAATATTTCTTTTATTTTGTTATCAATTTAGATGATCGTAGAAATTTCTAATATGTATGTAATTAATTGTTGCTAGCAGGTGGTGTAAACTATGATAAGCTTTGATGTACTTGTATCACTCAAAACTACTGTATCACACATATGTATGTATCACCTCCCGAAATGTTTATTATTTTATCCGCAGACCGTCGCTATTGCATTCAATAGATTTTTTTCCGCGTGGGACAAATGTCTCAGTGAATTACTGAAGTAAGTTTAATATAATCATATAATAATAATAATAATATATAATAGGATATAAACATTGCCAGGTTATTTTGTGACCTTTCATGGTGCGTAGGTGGTGTGGCTTATGTGTGCGTGTACAGTTGGCGGTGATAGATAGTAAGTCGCATCTGTGTTCTTATCTTTCGCTGCGGTAGTATCGCCGACGTAAGCATGGAAAAATTTTCCAGGATAAGTGGCCGTATGTTGTCGGTGCGTGGCGAAGCAGTGTTTCACCCGCCGAGTTAAAATGTGAGTTGTACGCTTTATAAGATCACGTTGTGCCGTGTGTCTTTGTTGATATGTGTGTGGTACGTGATGGTGCTAACGTGCTCGTGCGCGAGTTCAGTGTCCGTGCGTGCGTACGTATGTGTGTACGTGCGTGCGTGCATGAAATAATACGTGCTCGTATACTAGTCTGCTTTCACAAAGTTACCAGTACAGGCGGTACAGGTTACAGTGAGTTATTTGCGTACGAGTGTCACGGGATGGCGTCACTGTGCAGTACATTCGTAGAATGGTTTATTCGTAAATATACTTTAGTATTTTACTATTTATATCTATGTTGGAACGTTGGGACAGTTGAAACCGTCATTTTGAAGTGTAAATCCAGGACGATTGCATAATAAGAATGTGTTCAATCTGGTTATCGGGTTGTCTCTTGACGTGGTCCTGCCACTGCCACTGGATGTTACTGTTTCAGTGTGTGTCAGTATTGTCAGTATCTGTGTTACTGTACGGTGGCGGCACAGTTTGTGTGACATGTGACGTCATCATTTACTGTGATCTTGTCGCGGATACAAATCTCGAGCAGGTAAGCCAGCTAGGCAAAATATATTACAGTCTGTAGATCTAATATAATAATAATTCACATAAAATGTGACGCTATTGATCTTTGGCATTTTAGACATCAGCCTGGTGATCAGGTGTAACAGTACGGTAAAGTGCATTATGATCAAAATATTTGCTATGCTGCTTTCGTCCGCAAGCGGCAGTTAATAAACACGGTCTATATAGCTCTAGTACTATAGCCCGCTTACATTGACAGCGGCAGTCAATGTAAGCGGGCTATAGTACTAAAGCTACGGGCTATACTACTACTAGTAGTAGTACTAGCAGGAGTAAGATAATATAGGATCCTATATTATCTTACTCCTGCTACTAGGACTATAAGCCTAACCCTAACCATATCAGATACTGAGATAGTTACCAGGGTACGTTCCGGCAGTACGCTGGGGGACATGCATATATTTCTGTGTATCATCAACTGATGCACAGGCACTTGAAGCGTTTCAACTGTAAACACACGCCGCCGCCATTGCGCGCACACTGACACATAAATATATAGTCACACTATATATACTGTCATATATACTATATATACTATATATATAAACTGACACTATATATTTATGTGTCAGTGTGCGCGCAATGGCGGCGGCGTGTGTTTACAGTTGAAATGCTTCAAGTGCCTGTGAACTGATGCACAGACTTTCCGTATATCAAGGAATGATGCAAAAACACTAACCCTAACCCTAACCCTAACCCTAACCCTAACACACTTTGTGATACCTAAGGTTATACTTTAATACTTTATGACTTAGTGTTGTTAGGGTTAGCCGGTTTTTGCATCATTCCTTGATATACGGAAAGTCTGTGCATCCGTTGATGATACACAGAAATCTGTGCATCACTTCGTGATACCTAAGGTGCCTAAAGTGGATTTGCACCTCCTGGTACTATCTAATAATAATATGCCGGACCGTACCTCGCCTACTCCACTAACGAGTCTACGGAGTCGCCTACGCCTACTTCGTAACCCTAACCCTAACCATATCAGATAGTTACCAGGGTACGTTCCGGCAGTACCCTGGGGGGGGGGGACATAGACCCTATGAGCAGTAGTAGTAGTAGTACTAGTAGTAGTACGTAGTAGTACTATTACTATTAGCGCCTAGAGCTAGAGCTACTAGGCTATTGACTACTGTTGAGTGTTGTACATTTATACTCATAATACCAGGCAGTGGCATATTATAAGCACTTCATTTTCGCAATGTGCAACATGTGGAAATGTGCAAATGTGGAGACCTATATTATATCCTTGGGCGTGATCGAACTTATTCGTGAAAATAACGCGTGAAGTTCACGGTAACACATATTGATCCCATTGTTTTAGTCTAGCATGATGATTTAAAAGCAGGGTCATTTTAGCAAGAAATGTGGAGGTGGCATAGTTTATTAGGTAGTTTGTGTGCGTGATGTAACACATTACCCGAACAACTTTTTCATTGTTTCTGACTGTGCAACATTGAAGTTCAAATAAATACTTGCATGCGTCACTTTATTCACATCTCACCTACATCACAAAAAGCTTGCCGTGCATTAATTATAAGCTCATTAGATAACTTGTATCTTGTAAAATAATATCACAGAGTCAAATCTTCTGAATTTCGACAGAACAGAAATAGTAATCTTGCCTTCAATGCCCTGTATGGGCAGCAATGATTTCATTGGTCCGTGGTCCCTCACAGTAATTACAGGAGACAATTGGCATTAACAAGTTTACAATTTATGTTCTGACAAAGTTGGAATGATTTTTATTTTGTGATATTTTTTATAAGATAAATTGAATTTTAAAAGGTGATAATTCGTGAGAAGCATTTTGTGATGTGGATAAGATCAGGATTTGGTTTGCCTGGGATTTCAGAAAGTTCAACACGACTTGGTGTTATTTATAGGCCATGTCGAATGACAGTAATGACGTGTTATAAACGATATTGTTAAGAAAAAATAAAATGGATAAAAATACTAAACATGTGAAATTTTTTATTTCTAATGTAAATAGTATAAATAACACCAAGTCATGTTTAACTTTCTGAAATCCCTGGCAAACCTCGCTAGTTGTTTGCATTGCTTGCGGTAGAGGGCTATTAAAAAGCATTGCCCTTTGTTTCGGTTCACAGTTGTTGAAAATGTGGTATGAATTGCTAAAACTACATTGTACGTTTGGACTGATATCTCCCGATTTGTCATTTTTGTGAGACCAACGATTAGACACAAAATTAGTTTAATGATTAAGGTAAGATTTGAGCTCAAGTTTATTGAGTTAAACACAATAAATCATAGGTAGACTAAGGCAACTAAATGTTGAATTTTGCCGGTTTCAGTCTGTCTTACTCCTATTGATAGACTCCTGGTAAGATGTTAATAAAGTGACATGTTATGTATTACATTGAATTTCAATATTACATGGTCAGAAACCTTGAAAATCTTGTACAAAAATTTGCCACTTGTGTATGGAAAGCCATTTGGCCGTAGAATTGTGACTGATTATAAAAATATCTAGGGCTCAATTTCTAGGTCAATATTTAACCCAGCAATAAGGTATAGTTTGTTGGAATACATATTTCTTATTGTGTGTCTAAGTCACACTCAATTACAACCCACGATTCAGACATAAGTTAACCACAGCAGAGCCACAGACATTTTCATGTAACATTTCAGAGATTGAAATAGTGCTACTATGCTAAATGCCATTAAACTATTCGATATTTGTATTAATTTTATGTGTTTATAGCAGGCTCTGCTCAACTGGACCAGTCGTAGCTCTACCCACGTAGTTTAGTATTGAGAGCGAAGGGCAACACGGTTAGAGCTAGCCCATCTACGGTCTTAATAGGCCTGCATTTATACTGTTAGTGTTACATTTACAATTTGCAATTAATATTACAGGAGGTAATGTTACAGTTAGAAGGTAATATTATAAGGGTAGGTGTGCAGTGTGTGACGACAAACGAGCAACGGTGTGGTGGGACTAGTCGAGTAGTTGAGCAGTGTACAATACAAGAATAACTAGAGCACTCACGGAGAGTGCATACCTCCGCCAGCGATATACGCCATACGACTCATGAACACACGAATAAGCCACGATATACGCCAGCGTACTGACATGTACACGCTGGCTTGCTGCTCGCTCGCTTGTAGCAGCCGCTCGTTGCTGCTGCTCGCTCATATGTACACACTTGCTGGCTCGCTGGGTATCACTGGCTGGCTGGCTGAGCTGGCTGATGCGCTAATATCGATCGCTCGAACACACGAACGCACGAGAGCGAAAACATAACCTCCCCTCCAACTCCGTTGGGCGGAGGTAATTATCAGGACTGAGGAGTACGTGCACTTGAAACTTATTGACTTTATTTAGTATTTAATAGAATGAAATGATCCTAATTGCTGGAATGGCCCAAGCATGTGTGGTCAGAACCAACCAGTCAACTTGAGCCACTGGATTGGTTTTAAATTGTTCTAGAATAAACCTTTCTGTATGTTATGCTTAAATAACCTTCCTCCCCCCATCGCTTTCTACGTACGGGCCCTTGCAATATTGTTTAATGGGGTTTCATGCTTTAGGTGTTATATATGGATTAGGTGTCGTGGTAAGTTTGAGTCACTTACTCTGACCATAACTATGTTAGATCTGTGTTTAGGACCATTGGCACCGACAATTGAAAGTATTTTTATTTCTGATCTTTCATTTCTAGACTCAGAGTTCTGATGCTCTGAAAAGTATCGGGATCACTTATCCGCCATGAGGAAGTCCTGGCCAGCTTCAGCTGTTTTAGCAGCTTAAGAAGCATTTCAACTGCCAAAGTCTAGAACTACCTTCTGATCAGGGCACTTAGCTGCAATTCCACCCTCATGACCCTGACACAACAGGTATGTTTTAGTATAGGGTATTATATGAACCGTATTGGTGAACAAAGATGGTGAGATCTGCTAGTGTTATCATCATGCAAGCAGTTAATTTTAGCAATAAATTTCGCACATGTGCAGCTATATCTTAGAGGCTGGATTGTTAAAATTAAATAATAAACTGGGAAGCAAAGGTCTCCAAATGTTTGAGCAATGATAAGTACAATGTAAGTTATGAAACTGCAATGCATTTTTTGGCCCATTACTTGAATGTGTGTAAACAACATATATAAACAATATCAACTGTGCATGTTCTTTATTATTCTTCTGAGATGGCCGCATGTGTCAATAATGAGGTGAGCCATATGATCTGATTTACTGGTGGGGGGGGGAGGAGGGGGAGGAAGGTCCAGATGTGTTTACACGGGATGATTACATGAGCTGCTAACCAAAACTGTCAGCACTGGGATGTTTCACATATGTGCAGAAGCCAACTAGTAGATTCTTTTTGTTTGGCACACTTCCATGTAATCAGAAGTAGATAATAGGGAACTATGTTCCCTATGTTTCCTAATGTTCCCTAATGTTCCCTATTATCTACTTCTGATGTAATGTAACTAAGGCACTGGGCATGCAAAAGAAGTTAGTTTGCAGATTTACTGCTCAATTGCATCCGAGTTTTAGCGACGGTTAATATTGTGTCGAAGGGCCGCTGCTTTCTCCTCTCAGGTGAAACAATATGCATCAATTTAAAAACCGTGTTAATGGCAAATTGAATGATGCATTGTGGTTTTTGTCTCTCTATCAGAATAACTAAATAAAATGTTTAGGGAAAAAAATCTGTTCTTATCTCAAGTGGAACTCGATTCGCCCGTTATATCACCTTTGAATCCTACAGTACAGTACTAGTGTTAGTGAGTGTTAGATAGACTATAGTAGTAGACGTATACGGTTTTTGCACACCCTTCCTGCTTAAACCCATCAATTGTGCTTCGCTTGGCAAATATCTACAGTTGTTTGCGTGTGGTGTGAGAGATGCATCAGCCAATGAAGACAACGTTGTTCCCAAGGCAAGCTGTGTGTTTATGAAAGTAGCTAGGGGTATACGCGCTATATGGTGACTGTTTTTAGTGGCAAATGCCTATCTGGGGCTCAACGGGAGGGAAAGGAAGGGAAATGTTTGTTTTAAGGGCCGCATTCGTGTTTTGTTACATGGCGAGGTCAAATCTGAGAAGGCTTAATTGAAGATTGCTTGGTGAGATTGCCGTGCAAGTCTACAAGATAAAAATAATATATTAAATTACTGCAACATGCAGTAATTAACTGCTGCTTTGAATTCGGACTTCTGTTATAAAAATGTCTTCTTGTTCATCTATTGTTTACTGCTTTGGTTTGCTTGCTATTTTTCACTGCTTGGGTTAAATATTTATTTCTTCTAGCTTTTTCAATCTCTGGCAAACATGCATGTTTCAACTTTTACGATTTTCAAACAGTCGAGAAAATTCCAATGCAAATGAGATTTACGAGATGTGTTGGAAACCACCACCCACCACCAATACCACCCACCGTGCCACAAATAGATTAAATAGATTTGTCTAATGTTTTGATTGAACGATTTGACTCTATACTGCTCATTTGAAATAGTGATATAATGAACCAGTATCCACTGCCAGCATTCAGTGACATCTCAGACGTTTTACGCTTTTATAAAAGATGGCACCCTGCAGGGCAGTCAGTCTATAAGATTTGTATTGCAATTGCTTTACCATGGTAAGTGAGTGAAGTGTGGGGAGGTGTGCGCTCACTAGATGAACTAACGCAGAGATATTCATGTGTTTGTATTTTTATCATATTTTGCCACAGCGGGTGTGCAACCTAACTAGGCGTGTGCAAGTGGTAGCCATCCCGTTGCTAATGGTGTTTCACAGGTTATTGTGGTTAAGCAGTTTGTTGCCTGACAGTGCTTAAATTGACGTTTCCTGCCTATTAAAAACAAGTGCCGCGGAGCAACAGCGCTCATCTCACGTCTGCTGCGGTGACTCTGTGGTGGAGTGGTGGGATTCTAGTAAACCCTGTTAGTTCCAAATGTGTTCACATACGCGCCGAAACAGTGGAAGGCACAGGGATGGTATCAGGAACCTTCTCGAAAGAATGTTCGTTGGGATCGTTATGAAAATTGCCACGAGATGGCGTGTACGTTTAAGTGTCTTAAAAGATTAAAGATGGAAGCTCCCATCGTATGTAGTAGCAACAACTATTTGCAAGACAGAATAGGTAAGCACTCATCCATTTACCTACGCAAGCCTACAGGCTGAAATAGAGAGCTGCCACCTGTAACTAATTACGCAGGCAAAAAGACACAGTACTATCACCACCACATGCACTAAGCAGCGAGGCTACTGCCGTTGCATAAGTTGTACACATGTAACACACTGACAGTACAGAATGCCATAGAAATTATACAATTTAAGGGGGTTAAGGAGGGAATGTTCCCCCTTCTTTTACACCTCTTGACCTTTGAACTCTTATACGCCCCAGCTTCGACATTCGCAACTCGTTTTTCGATTATCCCCCACGTCCCCGAATATCGTGACCATACGTCGAGCGGTTAAGATTTGTGCCCACTGTTGACGGACGGACGGACGGACGGACGGACGGCCGGACGCTCATGCGATTCTCACAAGCTGCATCTGACTATGTCAGATGAGCTAAAAACGAATAGCTTGCTAGCAACAGAGGCCCGGCGAGAGAGACGGGAGAGCTCTGAGGAAAGGAAGAGAGGGGGAGAGAGAGAGAATGGACGAAGGAAATGGGAAACAAAGAGGAAAGAAAAAAGTGATAGAGGGAGAAAGGAAAAAAGAAGTGATGGAAGGGGGAACGACAGAGAATTGGGGAGAGGAAGAGGGAGAGGGAGAGGGAGAGAGAGAGAAGAAGAGAGAGAGAAGAGAGAGAAAGAGAGAGAGAGAGAGAGAGAGAGAGAGAGAGAGAGAGAGAGAGGGGGGAGAGAGAGAGAGATGGAGAGGAGAGAGAGAGAGAGAGAGAGAGAGAGAGAGAGAGAGAGGGAGGGAGGGAAAAGAGGGAGGAGGGAGGGAGGGAGGGAGGGAGGGAGGGAGGAGGGAGGGAGGGGGAGGGGAGAGAGAGAGAGAGAGAAGGAGGAGCGCGCGCGACGGAGTGGAAGTAATCATTAATAATATCTTTGGGCATTCCGGCCTGCACAGACGCGATACGCGCCTCGTCTGCTTAGAAACCTGAATTTCGGAGATTCGTTTTCCACACCTGACTCCCCTCAGCCGTGGCTACGAACCACGCTTTTCAGCTTTGCATGAGAAAACGTGCATTATTCATTAGTCGTCATGATGATGTATCCATCCTAGTTAGTTTACACCACGCGACTTACATTCATGTGAAAAGCGTGAGAATAACTGCTGCACAGGCTAACCAACACCTGGCCTACCTTTGTATGGTCGGCAACACGAATGTGTACGAATCTTTTTCTAGGAAATTGAGTGCTTGTGTCAAATATCTCTATTCATGCTAGCGGTTAGAATGTAGTGTACCAATACAGGATAGCTTTCTTCTCCAGGTATTTTGGCCGACTTGCAAGGCTTCAAACCGTGTTCAAATGTCGATATTGGGCTGAATAAACTGCCAACGAAACTGTTAACGTACAGCGAACATGTAAAGGTAAAAGCGTCGAAAGACAGTTGCAATATTTGTTCTAGTGTATCGTAGCCAACGCGGATTTGCGACATGTATAATATTAATTGTGTTGATGGTATGAGCTGCTTTCGTGGTTTTATGATTTTTATATGCATTGATTCAAGTAATATGTTTACTAATTTGGGTTGAACTAAAAGTTGTTTATGCTAGAATGTTAGAATACTGGAAAGGACATATAGACTCATTTTATAGTCGCTAATGAAACCAACGAAATGTGGAATCATTCTAATAAGAGCGAATTTATTGTACGTCACTGATATACACACAAGCGCTGGGTGGAGGAGTAAGGAACACTCAAACCCAACCGAGATCACATGCTAATTTAATATGAAAACCTACACAAGGTGTACACATTATGTAGATCGGAATACTTGGGCTGAAGCTGGGCTAACGCTCCATTAGGAGTGTTCCCAACGTTGATATCATTCATGATTAATGATTATTGATTGATAATCCTAACCCTAACCTAAATGACATTAAACCACAAACCAATATATGACCATGACCATATATATATATATATATGTTATTATGACCATTAATGACATTAAAGTTGGGAACACTCCTAATGGAGTATCACCCTGAAGCGGCTCTACATAATGGTATTGATTTCTGTGGACACTCGGGATTGGCTGCTGCTGTACGTACGCGGCTTACTCATATTCTGTTGAGTGGCTGTATGAATGTAGCACACGCTGCTGGCAATAACTGGCTATATAAGCCTAATTGTTATCCAGCTCTGTGTAAAGCGAAAATTGGACAGGTATGAAGCCATTCTAATAACCCCAAGTCATACTAGGATGCCTGCTGGCCGCATTATGCACTGCGTCTAGGGGTTAGCGCTGAATTTAAACGATGAACATGCAGTTATAAATGCGCATATATATGTCCTAAAAAATAAATTTTACGTATCTGCGTTTTCATGCTCCCTGGAGAGGAAAACGCTGGAATTGACGTTCCTTATATATAGAAACACATTGATCGTATTTGGCATCTGTTGGATTTAATCGGGTTATATATATATATGAATTATGAGTAGGTGGTGATAGACGGGTGGGGTGGTTGGATTTGTTCTAAATACTCTATGGTTGTGGTGGTGGGGAGGTATACAACTACATGCGAGCCTATATAAAGGATAGAACCTATTAGGTAAACAGAATACATGATTGTGGTGTATGGAGAAGGGGGATAGCAGGCCTGTTTATAGAATTGGCTGCCTTGACAAGGAGAATGTAATGCGGTGGTAGTGGGGCTGTAGAAATATTGGCAGGCCTGCATGTTTAGGATAGAACCTGCCTCTCCAA